CAAACTGCCACAACCAAACGGGCTTGCGAACCTTGCCTCAACAATCCCGCCCCCTTGATAAATGACCAATCACATACACTTTATTCACTCGGGCAGAAAGTCAGGCACCACTCGGGGAATTCGGAAATGCAACGGTTGGAACGGCCATTTCCCTGCGACTTTAAAAGATATTTTAGAGTTCAGTTCGATGCTGTAACCAGGAGAGGATTTACCATTAGCCAATACTAGGCAGTTGTCTAGGGCTCCAAGTTCCTGAGGGCTCCATAAAACTCTGTTTACATGTATGGTTAATGCAACTATTATTTATTTGTGCACATTATGTTTTTGATTAAAATCTGTAAAAATCCTTTTGCTAAAATGCATATTATTACAAATAAAAAATAGAGAACAGATAAGCAGATCATGGCTCATCTACGTACAGTGAAAAGAAGGACTGGGTTATTTACTTTTGCCGTTGCCTTTTTGAAAACACAGTAAGGAGCAATCAGCTAAGTGAGCTTAGTGATTGGAAAAATTCTTTCATTCCTTTTGAGACAGCATGAAAAGTCAGCTGAGTGCAAAACATAGAGAAGAAAACAACTAGAAAAGGGACAAGAAGAGAGACAAAAAGTAGGACAAATTATGTATTTCTATTTCATTAACATTTCTGTATCTGTATAATGGGTCTGTTTGATGTGTTGCCTTCTCAATTTAGAGGGCCCCCTGCCTGTCTTTGCCTAGGGCCCCAAATTTCCTAAATATGCCTTACCTGTAACTTATGCCCAACGTATGGCATAAGTGGCATGCGTCAAGAAGTACTTGCCATATTTTGATGTGTGCCAGCGCGTTTCAGCATGCTCATAACTGATACAAAACGTACCCATAGATTAATAAATATATGCAAGCTGTAGGCCTGCTCAGTGGCACAGTGGGTAGCACTGCTGCCACTGCAGCAAGAAGGTTCTGGGTTCAATTCCAGACCTGGGATCCTTCTGCATGGAGTTTTCATGTTCTCCCTGAGCATGCGTTGGTTCTCTCTGGGTACTCTGGCTTCCTCCCACAGTCCAAAAACATGACTGTTAGGTTAAATGGCTTCTTTAAATTCTCCTTAGGTGTGAGTGAATGGTTCTATGTCCTGTTTGTCTCTGGGCTGGTGACCTGTCCAGGGTGTACTCTGCCTCTCGCCTGCAGACAACACCTGCACCCCTTTATCCCCTGCTTAGGATAAAGCGTGTGAAAAAATGGATGGATGGCATATAGAGAGAGAACAAGAGAGGACCGTGGGGAACCCGACATGAGAGAGGAGCAGAGGAGTTGCCAAGGCCCAGACTCAAACATTTTGTTCAGCCAGACATGACCTGAACCACTCCAGAGCTATGCCCTGATGATGAGCTATGCCCTATGTCCTGATGTCCACCCACTGCTCCAAACGAGAGATCAACGCTTTGTGGTCCACAGTCTCGAATGTAGTAGTTAAATATAAAAGCACAAGATGAACACAGTCACTGGTGTCTGTGGGTGGAAAGATTTCATTTAAAACTCTTAAAAGAGCTGATTCTTAAAAGTGCCGTGCATTGATTTAAAAGAGGATTGGAAAACATCAAGAATATTAAGATCCTTTAAAAAGGCTATTAACTGTCTGCAAACTATCTTCTCGAGGATTTTTTAAATGAAAGGCAGTTTGGAAATTGGCCTGAAATTGGCAAGAATTGCAGGATCTAGCCCAGTTTTTTTTAATTAGGGGCTGTGGAACTGCATGTTTAAAATATACAGGGACCACACCTGAGGACAGGCTGCTACAGAGTTATGTCATTTAATGTCATGTCGGAGGAAAATGATTTGGTATTAAAATGCAAAAAAACTGATTAAAAAAAGTAAACATTGGTTGTATTTACACTTAAACGTAGCAGCTAGATAAGATGAAATGCCAGAAAAATAAGTATATTTCCGCTTAAAATGAAATAATTACATATTATTCACTTGAAATAACATAATTAAGTTTTATTTTCCATTATTTTAAACATAAATCATTTTATTCCATCAGTTAATCATCTTACCTGCCTGTCCAGGAGCCAGGACCAGTTCTACAGTGGGCCCCTGTCTCGAACCGCCCATGATGACATGATGATACTGTGTGTGGATGAAATTAAACTGATACTGCGGGTGAATGTAAGGAAGAGATGAAGAAAAGACACATTAAATATCTTCTAAATTTATTAGCAGAGGTGGCTAGTTCTAGTTACATTTACTTGAGTAACGTTTTGACAAAAGCAAACTTTTACAAGTCGTTTTATTGCACCATACTTTTTACTTTAGCTATCTTTTTGTTTTGTTTTTTGCTATCCTACCCACTATGAGTAGCTTCACTGAATGAACAATCACATTTAAACCTTAAAATCAACCAGACAAAAACATATAGTTGAGTTTGACTAAAATAAAATGATTTTTTTATAAATTTTTTGTTGTCATAATTTTCTATCTAAGCTTTCAGTCACACATAAAGGTCAAGGTAATATGCGATAAAACATATAATTTGCCACTGGAGGCAGTTTTATTCTACTATAACTTGCAGTACTGTATTGGTTTGATGGGTTTTATTTAGAAAATACATTTGAAGAAGTCTTTCTTCTCTCTGAGTCAATTATTTTCTAGTTGATTATACATTTATATATTTTTTCTGTACAACACTAGAATTTGTACAAAAAAATCTATTTTAATTACATCATTTTATAAAGAAAATCAGATGGTATGATTCTTTTATACTTGAGTGATCTTAGAAACATTAGTAAGGCCCCTTGTTACTTTTACTGAAGTACAAATATGTTAAAGTAGTGCTACTTCTAACCAGTTTGTGGAGTACTCTACTGTCCTCTGTTTATTTGAAGGTTGCTAGATGTGCAGGACCAAGGCATATCAAGATTGCACAGCTGAAGGTGATTTTTGATTGGTTGGTGTAGGCCCAATAGTCTGGGACTAATTGAGAGAAATGAAAGTGTTGCTACCCTCCCGGGTCTCCCATACAGAAACAAAAAAACATTTTTAATCGTTAAATACACTATCTAAATGTATTGTTTGTCATATTTTTTATTTGCAGTATTAAAAGCAGTTCATACAGATGTTAGCATAGCCATAAAAGGACAATAGCTGGAATGTTGTTCTGGTTTGTTTTCATTTAGGGTCCAGTTTTCACCCTTAACTGTGAGCTCGTAAATCATATGTGGGGTTCAATTCTAGGAACATCTTGGTCCGTGCAAATCCGTTAAACGTAAGCCAAAGAGTCTGTGAGATAAACTTTATGGCAGCCCAGCAGCAGAGGTGATGATAGGATTTGGGAATATATAAAGATTGTCGCCTTTGTTTCTTAAATAGATGCATCATTTATGGCTTTGATTTTATTGGCAGTGCTCCATGGGGTAGAAAAAAGTCTAATGGAAAAAATGTGATGTGAGACTAAATTTGCTGTCAGCTGAAATAGCAGCTCTGTCAGAGAACACACAAACTTTGAACCTTTCATATTTTGCTCATATTTTAATTTCATAGTTGGACCAACACCAGGTCCTGAGTGATTGTGAACTACACAAAGATAGATGAACCTGGGTCTCTGCAGCTTTTAGCATGTTTACCTCCAGCTGTATTTCTATCAGATTTGATCAGCTCCTCTGTTTCTATCTATCTGATTGCCAGAGGCTCTTCTAAATTAAATTAACTAGCTGGGCCTGGGTAGGGCCCGTTTTATTTATTTTTTTTATGGGGGAACTGAATAACACAAAAAAAAACGAGTGCAAAAGCATTTTGATATATATATATATATATATATATATATATATATATATATATATATATATATTAACATTCCAGACGTTGCAGACTCCTGATCTAACAAATTCAAACTATGATCCTATCTTAGTACAACTGAAGCTTAAAGTGGACTATATTATTGTTAAACTAAATTGTGTAGTCAAAAGATAAAATTGGTAAAAAGGGACAAATCAGTCACAGTCTCTTCTCTCATCTCATAATAATATATTGTTAAATATAATATATTTAGAATTATAATGCAAAAACTGATACAAATAAGTGAAAATGTTGTTTCCTTAATTTAAACAGGTAAATAAGATGATCTGAGGGCTGCACAGTAGTGCAGTGGGTAGCACTATTGCCTTGCACAAGAAGGTTCTGGGTTCATTTCTTGGCCTGGGGTCTTTCTGTCTGGAGTTTGCATGTTCTCCCTGTGCATGCATGGGTTCTCTCCAGGTACTCCAGCTTCTTCCCACAGTCCTAAAACATGACTGTTAGGTTAATTGGCTTCTCTGCATTGTCCTTAGGTGCGTGTGTGCGTGTGTGTGTATACCTTTCTAGCAATCAGAGTGAGGATATTTTTCCAGTTTCACCATCTGATTGAGGACCAGTTGTTGCAAAGTGAGGATGTTTTGCTGGTACTCACAAGCCATTTTGCTGCCGGTTAAGTTTAGGGCTAAAGTGTCAATTGGGTTAGGGTTAGGTATGCATTGGTAATAGTTACATTTGGGTTATTTTTAGGGTTAGGGAATAGAAAGGGTTGAAATTTACAGAAAATCAATGGTAGTTAACACATGATCCTCACTACATATAGCAGAATGAGTATGTATGTGTGTGTAGGTGTGTGCATGGTTGTGTGTCTCTGTGTTGCCCTATGACAGAATGGCAACCTGTCAAGGGTGTATTCCACCTCTTATAGTATGCCGGAGACAGACACTGGTCTCACCACGACCATGACAAGAACTAAGCGGGAGAAAAGGTGAGGACCGATGAATAAGTTGATCTGCTATGGGGATGACTAATTCTGCTCTTAAAACACGATTATTTTGTATTTGTATTTTGCTCTTGAAATAAGATAATAGAGATTTTATTTTTGTCAGGATTTTCTTTTTGATGAGCCCAGAAAGCACACCACACACACAGAGCCAGTCTAGAAGGTTTATTGAAAGTTATGAGTTGTGGGTAAAGGTAACCAGAGGCTGTACCGAACTAGAACTGGAGGTGTAGATGTGAGCATCAGCTGCAGTAATCCACAGGGAACAACGAGAGCTCCTGGAGAAACAGAGGCTGCAGTAATCCGCAGGACGACAGAGTGAGATCTGGGTGAAGCAGAGTTTTTAATAAATCCACAGGAGAGAGTTTCACTGAGCTGCTGTAAAACCCCAGGTGCAGACGAGAGAGTTCAAAGGGCAGAAGGCAAAGATCCAGCAGCGCAGCAACGGAAGCACAGAACCTGACTGACGAGGTGTTGGATTAGTGGTGACTGAATACGAACCGGTGGGGAATAGCTCAATGAGAGAGGCTTTTGTAGAGAGGCTGAAAGGTGGAGCGAGTATTGACTAATTGGTGCCTAACAGGTGTGACTAATTGCTGAGGGAGTGGAGGCTGAGCTGTGTGAGAGGAGGAGGTGCTGGAGGCGATAGCCAGGCCAAAATAGAACCATGACATCTTCTTCCTTTCATCTCAAATCATCCTTTTCTGTCTGCAAATTGTCTAACCTCCTTATTTTATTCATGTTTGTGGGTGTTTTCAGCATAGGGGCCATAACAGCTCCCTTTGGGCCCCTGTCTAGAAGTGTCCATGCTTGTTACACATTGAATGCTGAAACCTTTGGCTTGTAGCAAACTTCAGAAGCTACTTTTTTTTTTAAAATTTCCTTTTATTAACTGAACAGTCTTATGTCTATTCTGCAAAGTCCTGATCTATTTGCACCGGTCTGTCCACCTGCACTGTGTACCTTATCTTGACCTTTTTTTTCCTGATTGTTTTCTTGTTGGCTTCTTTCCTGGTTCTTCTTCAAAAAAACATGCTTATTTTTGTGTTGGTCACTTAATATCCAAAGAACACGGGTATAAATCTATGGTTGTAATATGACAAAGTCATTTTTTAGAAGAACTGCACTATGGGAAACTTAAAAAAGCTGTGAATCTTGATAAGGGCAAGCAGTCAGGCAGTTTAGTGAAGCAGATCCTTAAAATCATTGTGAAACTTTCTATCTATTCCCACCTTTAATTTTCCATTTTTTAACAAAGTGCTGGATTTTCTCTACAGTTAAACTCCTTACAATCTGCCATCCTTTTCATGCAGGATAAATCTATTCTTGCCCAAACTTGCTGGATCGGTTACACCTCCTTTCAAGGTTGTCTCTCACTTTGAGCTGATGGTTCTGTGTGTAAAATATCAATCTGTGATGATCTGTCTCCAGAGGTATAAAGCATTTAGTTTTTACAGAACTATAAATCTAACTTTAAGAGTGAGAATACTACAACTTTTACAGATTTGGCGACACTAGCTCATTCGAACAGAATCTTGAATATGTTGTTTTTCGTGTTTGTCCTCTTCTTCTTCCTCCCAGTTTTACTTCTTGACTTCCTGCAAAGGAAATGAAATATTAGTTTCAAGTAACATTCAAAATGATGAAACAAATATTTAACTTTCATGCTAAATTGTAAAAAAAACAAACTTTAATGATTGTCACATTCACACAGACTACATGGTTAAAGACATTCAGGAGTTTTGATAAAGTGAATGTAATAGATTCAAATGTCTGAAAGTAGGGATAAACCACAGCATGGATTATTGACGGACAGTTTATAGGGTGATAAAAGAAGAGCTAAAAAACGGAAGTTGTTATTTGCCTGAGACGGATGACTGATAAAACAGAAAGGAATTTAGGCATTTATTTTCTCAGGAAATACATTATTAAGCTTTAACACACGTTTTAGTACGTTTACTAGTTTTGGGGAGTGAAAAACGTAATTTAAGTCTTTTTAACAACATAAAATCGAGGGCGACCCCGATGTATATCTGAGCCATCAGCTCATTGGCACATGCGCAGAACGGATCGTGCTTCCGGGACGGATTGGGTAGTGACAGATCCTCCCTGCGTTATCGCCAACAGCCAATAACGTTATGTTAAGAAAATGGAGGGATCAGTAATGCATGTCCTCATGTGATCTCAAGTAATGCCTGTGTAATGCACCAATCAGTGGGCCAAAGCATGTGTTCTGCCATGGCTCGAGTCACAGGGCAAATGAAGTACAAATCTATTAAAAAATTAAGCTGCATTTTTAACCAAAAAAATGTCAAAACTTCCTTTTTTTCTTTTGGCAAAGCTTATCAATCTGAAATAATATTTTGAACAAATATTTCAGAATGTTTTTCACTTCGGTAGAATATGGTTGTATTTGAAAACCATTTTTTTATCAAGTAAATTAAAGGATGAGGATATAAGACAAAATATTACAATGATGTTTGTGATATAATATAAGTGATATATATATACTGTAAGAAGCAGGTGAATCTTTCTGCCATCCCATAATAGGCTTAATGGCCTATGAGAAACCTTGCAAAGTACAAACATTCGTAGAGTTTTTTTTTTCATTTCACATTCCCTATTGCCTCAAATGAGTATGTAATTGTTACAGATTTTGTACTTATTTAAAAACAACCAAACAAATGGGAATTTTGCATTCCATTAAAATGCCCTTTAACTGATAAGAGCTATTCAAGTCTAACTGAGGTCACCACCATCTTGTTTATGCTAAAGGTACAATTATGTAATGGAACCACTAGATGGAGCTAATACTGTCTACTATAGCACCAATAAAAAATGGTAGAAATGGAGTATTGTGGTGCAGAGACAACACAATGTAAAAAAATAAATAAATAAAAATAAACACAGCAAACAATTTACCCCATAGTGATCCCAACGTTTGATTTCTTGATAGAAGGCGTCTCCTGGACAGGCTGTGCTCACCACATCTCTGTGCCCTTTTATGATGTAGGAGGACACCAGTCGCCCTCCACCTACAGCACAGGATGCCAGCTGCTCTCTCACCAGATCCATGGAGTGCTGAGATGGTAGACGGCTTTGGTAATCCCCAATAAATGAGACGCCAAAGCCTTTGGAGTTGTATCCATACGTGTGGGCTCCCTGCCAGTTCCAGCCACGGCCCTCATAGATATTGCCGTCACCGCCAGCTACAAAGCTTTAGAGGAAATTAATAATAAACTTGCTGTTGTTCCTTTGCCATGTAAGAGTGATCTTACAGTGCAACTGATTTTACCTGTATCCGATGTCATCCCAGCCTCTGTCTTCTTGATGGAATTGCTGCATGGATCGCATGTCTGCAGCGCATTTCTCAAAGGTCAAACAAGGCTCGCTTGGTGTGTGGGTGTGATGGATGAATAAGTAGGTAAGAGGTAAGGACAGTTGGGTGGGTGTCCCTCTGTATGGCTCAGCACCCCATGAACACCGAGAAATGATTGGAGGACAAACTGTTAAGATATTAAGGAATACAGCATTTATATAAAACGGTTTTATTAGATTTGTTTTTATTAGATTTAGTTTGATCTTATACTCACCCATGTACATGTGAACAAACTCTTTTAATCCTTCCTTCACCACAGCCATCAGCTGCCTCTTGGTCTTAACCTCCATCTTTGGGTGTCCTGCCAGACTTTGCTGCAGGTCTATAGACTTCACCACCTGTCTGGCCAGCAAAGGAGGGAGGAGCAGGGCTTTGAAGTTCTCCCTGCGACGTCGACTGATGAGACGCGGGGCTCCGTCCATTCCCCTACTGTCCAACTGGTGATTGTAGTACTCATTGAGCAGACTGCTGAGCTTGACAAGAAGACTGGAATTGGCTGAAACCTCCTTCCCCAATACAATGCCGTCCATGCCTCCATTAACCTGAGCTGTGGTGAGCAAAGTTGGTTTGTCTGAGAGCGTGAAGACTTGGGGAGATGTTAAGTTGTCCCAACAGCCATCAGTTCCGAGCAGATTTGTGCCAGAAGAGCCGTGCCTGAGAGAAAGACCAAGATCTTTGGCTAGAGTGAGCTGGTAGAGACCTCGAACTCGTCCTCGAGTCTTGGAGAGAAGGCCAGCTTCAATACCCAGGAGGAGCGGTCCAAGGGCAACCGTGCTACCATCTGGGGTCAGAACCACTCCTTCTTCTTTGGCATCTTCCAGCACCTTGTGATGCACAGCTTTGCGAAGGTATTCTGAGAGATCAGCAGGCAGCTCAGAACCACTAGCCTCAGCATCGGGGAGGAAGTACTGGATGAAGGCATCATTAAGGCCAGCTGCTTTGCGCAGCATCTTCAACACATCACCTGGACCTAAGCCAGGGTCCTCATCTTCTATCTGCTCTACAGCCCTGATAAAGTCCTTCATGTGGTTTGAAAATGAGGCTGAAAAAAAAAACATTTATAATTTAGTCATTGACACAAACACCTTTTTAAAAACAGTGTTGAAGTAATTTTAAAGCTGAAAGGGAAGTTCTCTAAAGACTGATTCATGTAGCTGTTTCTCAACATTAATCTACAAAATTGCTAATCAGCTAATGCTTGGTGGGGATAGGTCATCTGTTGTCCTCTCCAAGACACTCCTTAAGAATCACTCACAGGTATATGCAATGCCCCCCCTGCTGTGCTTGGTACAAAGGCATTACAAACCCCCTCACACATTTGCCCATGGAACACCATTTGCCATGGCCACACTGGGCAGGTTCTCCTGAATGGAGGCCAAGGTACCACACTCTTCAGGCCCATGAAGTGGGTCTGCTAGATAATCCGAGGAGCAATCTGTTGCAAAATATTCTTTTTGCAACCTTGGAGGTGCAACAATTAATCTCAAGGCACTCAGAGAAAATTCAACCAAGTAATACAGTCAAAGTTTTCTATCTAAAGAAAATCAGATGACTGCATCCACTTATTGACACAAAGGCAATTGCCACACCAAGCATGCCTTTAGCAGCAGTGGAGAGGAAAACTCCCTTTTAACAGAAAGAAACCTCCAACAGAACCAGACTCAGTGTGAGCGCCATCTGCTAAGTTCGATTGGGGTTCAAGGAGACAGAAGCAGAAATACAGAAATAAGCAGAGATACCAAAGGCAACTGTCAAACAGATCCACAGGCAGCAACAACCCAGGAAACACAAAGCCAGGCAGATGAGCTCCAAACCTGCTTCCATGTCAAAGGATGAAAGAGAACATAGTTAGTCCTAGTCAGAGAAACAGGACAACCCTGAAAAAACGACCAAGCTCCAACATCTATAAACAAAGGTTTAAATTGGAAGCAGCACAGCTGATACTTCTCTCCAGGATGGTGTAACGGCCAAACAGTAGCATACTGGATGAAGCTACTATCATGAGAAA